ATTTTGAGAAAAAATGAGTTAATATTTTCCAACATATTCGCTGCACGGTATCCCTAGAATTCAATGAAATACGCCCTTTATTGGAAAAGAAATTGACTAAACTCCTCGTAAGTTGCTCTTGACGCCGCAGGAAAGAATTGTCGATAAAAATGTCAGAATTTGATTTTTAGACACTTTCCACGGAATAATTTCACTGTGAATGCTTGTTCCCGCCAGAGGACCATTTCCCCGCGAAAAATCGCGCATCCATGAATAAAACAACGCACGCAGAGAGCACTTACTGCCCCAACCATGCCTATCATGCTAAACACAAGGGCTCTCTAAAACATGGAACTGTAAACGTTTTGAAGGTAAACCCTATACCGCTGCTGAAAACAAGTTTCATTACTCATGGTGCGTTACATTGTATATTTTCTACGAAGAACTTTTTCGTATGGTATAGTTTACGAGCCAATCGTAAGTTGAAGAAGTAAGAGCCACGAGGACTTAATTTTATTGCGACATTGCAAAAGCTTCACCTGAACGTGTATTTCTGAGTCCACTCAAGAGTGTACGGTTTTTTGTTGAAAATTTAACTGTACATAATTTTGTTGTCCAGTTGTGATGAAAATTCACAACGGATTGTAAAATAAAATTTGTAACCGTTACCGGGTAAATGAGTACCTTTTTAAGTGAAACTTTGAAACGTTGCGATGCAATTAAGCTGCTTTAACTTATACCCCTGCATTTCTTTTCTGTTCTCCCTTCATCGCGTGAACATTGATATTTGCTTAGACACTTGTGTTTTGAAATTTGAAATGCTCCTGAACGCCTGTACGTGGCCCATGAAAGTACTTGATAACAATGCATACTGCTCCTTTCTCTCTTTTTATTTTCGCTGAAAATTCTCCACTCCTTTGATGCGGTCCTTCGAGCAACGAGTGGCTGCAACTCGCGAATTTCCATGTCAAAGAAGAACCGCGCGGTGGTCGGGGAAAGTAAAGAGAAAGAGAATTCGAAGTTAATTAAAGACTCAAAATAGATGAATTTAAGATTCCTGAAAACTCCGCTAGAACTCGGAAGTATGTTTGTAGTCAAGGAGTGCATATCCGCGGGGTGGGGCGAAATGGGAGGGGGCGGAACGTGAGCTCTCCCTGCGGGCCACCCATCACGTTTACCCGGCAAATTTAATAATGAAAGATATTTCGATGGTCCCCCCACTTCCATTCCCCGGACAAGATTACCGCCTCCTCCCATCGAACGGGACAAGATGGTATCAGAAAAGGGAGTGCTACTTTTTTAAGATAGTTGCCAAGTTGGTGATATTTGGCCACAGTCTGTAATATAAATTCAATCCAAACAACCATCCTCATTCGTTTCCCTATACATATTATTTTCATTTTTCGTCATTTTTTTATCTTCTCCAAGATTATGGCCCGACGTTAAACAATAGAATCCGGAATATAGTCGATGCTTCACTGACTCCGAACGATTTGTTTCCAAAAGCCGAATTTTAAACTAGAATCGTAGCATGTCAATGATCTAAATGTGCAGCAGCTCATCACCAAGATGACGGAAAATTGCTGTATACATGACAAGTCATTTTAATTATTTTTGAGAAAAATCGCGGAGAATTCAAATAGCTTTTATTAATTTTTTTTTTTGCTCAACGTACTGTAGTTTTCTCATATTCATCGTCAAAATTTTGAAAAAAAGCGCATTTCTCGAGCATATACTTCTCGACGTCTCTCATCTTACTTTGGGTTAATAAAACCTTGCCTGGTTTTATGTTTGGTTTTGGTATTTCAGTTCGGTTAAAAATTTATATCAGACGATTACTCTAGTTTCTTCCTCTCTGGCGCTTACTAATCACGGGAGAACTCCAATTTTCGAACGTAAGATGAACAGGAATATGTATCAAGAGCTTAGTTCGTTTACTTTCAATCGAGTTTTGTGTATTACCCATGCACAAACATTAAACGTCACTCATATGGTAGAATTGGTAGATTTATTATAATAAAATTAACGATTCTCTGTTCTCTTATAATATGACGTCTCTTTTAGATTTTTTCTAATTGTTACGTCGGTCGTGAGAGTCTCCTCCTGACACAAATCAAACTCATAAATTACGTCGTTAGAATTTACACATTGATTGGTGGACGAAGAATTGAGAGTTGACATATCATCAAAATGTCCTAAAATTTTAAAATGCAGTGAATTTATCTTGACATCAATTGCAATAGATGCCTCATGTCGAGAAATAGGTGTGAAAGAATCCGAAAATTATGGTCTCTGTTACGATGAACCTAGAATTTTTCTACGCTAAATCTAATAATTACAGTAATTTTCATCGAAAGTTCTTCGAGGTCAGCCCACTGCTGAACATATTATTTGGCCATCGGTTTTTTATACCTGTGCATTACCTCACTACATCCTTCAAGCTCCTTTACTCTTCTCTGAAACATCGAAGATACGAGGAGACCCTTTGGTCGCTCCGACGAAAACTGGCAGCCCCTCCTATCCCCGTTTTGTTCACCGGTTTGAATTATAATTCTAAGTTTTACAATCTTATTTCCAGGCTTGTAATTACTTCTGTCAACCACGATTACGCTTTCTTTATTTTATGCAATTTCCCCCGCTTTCCTCTCCATCGCCCACTCCTTTGGCCTCCCGAACTCGCTCCTTGTACCCCAGACTTTCGCCGCAAAACTTTTCCTGCACAACATTAGCATATTCGGCGAGACTCTCACCCGAGCTTAAATGGGAGGATTTTTTTATTATGTTCGGTGTAGTGGATAATAACGCGCATGAACATATTTAATTTTTTAAGCATCTTTCTAACTTCCGTTAGCGCGCACCCATTGTTCTTAACGCTTTATACCTGGCATACTTAATGCTCAATGGATATTGTGTTACAGCCTGATGTTGATGTAGGGAAACTCATAGTCATTTTTAAACCCTCCCTCGACTTTTATCCAGGGTGGACTGTATATAAGGTTTGAATCACGATCCAACTTTATTTGAGGAAAGTTCTGAAAAGCATTTTATTTTATTAAAATGTTTAATTAAATTCAAAATTGCATTTTGGTGGGTGTTACTTTTTAACTAAAAATAGTATAATTTATAAAACTTAACGACATAAGATATATTGAAGTGTATTAATTTTTGTAACATTTTTACACATTTAAAGTGCATTATTTTGTGTTTTTTAGTACACTTATTTAGTCTAAATATGATTTGTTCTTCTCTTGTAAGGAAACTAAAAGTTTACGCGCTTTCAACAAGGAAGCAAAATCTGAAGGGGAGTCCGAACATCAATTTTTCAAACAATGAATAAATTGAGCAGAAATAGTTATAGGCTGTAACATGGGTGCAACAATTCAGTTTTGAATTCGGAGGTCAATTAAAAAATCGGGAATATGATCGAACTGTTGCCAATGGAATTCATCTAAACAAAGCTTCCTTCGGGAGAATCTCTCGAGTTTACATCACATTTCTATCACATTCGATCATGAGAATTCACCTGTATCATCGCAAATGAGTCCGCATGTCATTTATATTTTCACCCCTCTGGCAACAATCGAGACAACGACCATCCACCATCCACCAACGGCAACTCCGTTTTTACCTCAGCTCACCAACACCGGTGAGAATCGAGGCGCGAAACGCCTCTGCATATTCAGTGCCGGGAAGGCTGATTTACATCGACAATAAGGCTTGGTGCCTGATGGTTGGTGTCACTCTCGAATTATAAAGTCAAATTTAAAAGTTTCATGATTGCATTTCTTTCCTAGCTTGTTGACGCGATTCATCGAAGCACCATAGTGTCTACTCCAGTGAGAACTACACAACAGTAGCGGGGTGTATTTTCTCCGTCTGATGTTTTGATTCACTCTAAATGCGGCCTCTAAATTTTTTTGCGGCCGTATAATGGGCCGCGGCCTATGGGGGCAAATTTAGAGGGCGGCAAATTTTGCAATTGTTTTAAATGTAGGTATAAAAAAGATCGGATTCAGAAAAAAAATTACTAATTCAGAAAAAAACTAGAAAAGGCGACAAAATCTCTAATTTCCTGAGAATATAGTAATTTCTAGTTTCGTTGTCTACCGGTGATACAAGAAACAGCACCTTTAATTAGTCGAGTCAAGAGAGAAACCAAACTCGCAATTTCGCCTGAGCGGCGCGGCGCAGAGAGCAATGATGACGAGGACTTGAGATGAAAAGGAGAAGCCCTCGGCGCGGCGCAGCGGTCGGCATGTAACACATATTAGCGCCTACAAGACTGCATGCATACTTCACTCTTTGCGTCAAACACGGTGCGTTCAGCAGCGGTCGGCGGGAAACGCGTAGCGTCTACAAGACTGCAAAAATACTTCACGCATTGCGCCAAACACGGTGCGTTCAGCAGCGGTCGGCGGAAAACGCGTAGAGCCTACAAAACTGCAAGAATACTTCACGCATTGCGCCAAACAAAGTGCGGCAGCGCGGCGCTGGCGGAGCGGAGGTTAAAACTCTTAAACCAACTTTATGTTTGTTCTTTCATAATTTTTTCGTTCATTTCTTACAAATTGAAGGCCTTGTCCACACAGAGTGAACATGAATATGAACATGAACATTCGAGGGTTGCCAAATTTCCTTCGATAAAATGTTTTTTTTTTTTTTCTTGAGGCAAGTTATGAATATTTATCCTTGAAATTTTCAGGAACTTTAGGTGAAATCACGAAGAAAATTTTATGAAAAATTGGACTCAAAATATTCATATTTTCACCAAGAAATTCGTGTTTTATCAAAGGATGTTTTGCAACGCCTGAAAGTACATACAGCGTTTCACTAGTATGGCAGATCCGGTGAATGGAATCTGGTAATTTCATCTTGAATGCCACCTACCCACAATTTTGCCGGACGCCCCCTACGTCTCCTTCAAGGAGGAACCTAATCTAGTACCTTCTTAGGCAATCTGTCATCCGTCATTCGTTTGTTTTCAACAACTGATTAATTTACCGTTTGCGTTTGTGTTTCAGATCCGTGCTTGGTGCACTACTGCGGGAAGGGGCGCGTGTGCCGGGTGGTGGGCGGGCGCGCGGAATGCGAGTGCGTGCGTCGCTGCGTCAAGCGGCAGAAGCCGGTCTGCGGCTCCGACGGGAAGCTCTACGACAACCACTGCGAGCTCCATCGCATCGCTTGCCAGACCAACAGCATCGTCGCCGTTGACCACACCTTCGCTTGCCTCAATCCAGGTAAATATACGTCCAATCCTGCCTTGCCAGAGACGAGAGACCATCCACTCGTAGCTCGGCTATGGTGGAAGCTAGACTTCAACATTAAACTGCTGACTTACCTACATGGTTGATGCTTAAAAGCGTGTTGGCAGTTTCGTTGTGCAAAAAAGCCGAAGTTTGGGAAACTTGTTTGACTCATGACGTCACCCGAAGCTCATCATCCACCATGCAGTATTGCAGGTAGGTCAACAGCCGAAAAAAGAGTGATGACTGTTGCTGCCTTATAACTGTCCATAAGTAATTGTTGAATCCCAGAAAGTAAAAGCTTCCACCTGTCGCCAAGATCAGTGGAGGGTCTTTTTTCTCTGTGCCTCGCCCAGGGAGAACGCCGTAGGAGCTTTTAGCAGGATCGCCAGTCACGGAATATCAGGAAATGTCAGGGACTTTTAAAAAGTCAGGAAAACTTGGAATTGTTGGGTCACCTTTATTTGCCGCCTAGAATACCTGTTTCATTTTTCGTCGTCAATATTGCCTCGGTAGAAAATTTCATTTTTGCATTTAAACAGGGCATAAGAATAAATACGGCAGATCTTTGATCTGACGCCAAATTTACACCAATACGTCTTGCGGATTTGTTTTGAGTACCGAGTCGACAGATGCGACTTAATTGCCGCTGCTAAATTCTTTTCACCTCACGTGAGGAGTTTTGAAACATTCCGCCGCTGCTGGTCACGAGAAAAGCTATAACGCCTTCAATTTTTCAGTATGCACAACGCACACCCGTTGAACACGTATTGTTGCATCATGGCTCAGTGGATCGCGTCTGTGCGAATTTTCGTTTTATTATTTCAGTGTTGTTGCAACTATTCGTGCGCCATGGATGTTCGTTCGTGTTGCAGACACGTAAAATAATTGAAGACGCTATATTATTTACTGCAATCAGCAACAGCCGAGGGTTTTAACACTTTTCAAGTAAACCCACGCACCAAAACGTCTGTATTTAAGTGGAATGATCTGTCTCCGAGGTTATGAGCAAAATGTCCCAAATTGACTTGTTTCATTATCTTTGAAAATAAATATCATTGAATTGTAATCAGACCTCAAGACAGAGATAAAGATAGGATTCCTCGTGGCGCCTATATGTGAATTGAAACACATTCATATTTTTCAGTCCGACTATTTCCTTCATTCGGGAACAATACCACCCCTTCGACACGATTGAATGTACTTTTGCCGCTTTCCTGGGTTTTATTGCCTCCGAAGTCGATTCAAGGCTGTTGGATTGCCAGTTCTACCATAGCCTCCCCGGTATGACTATGCAAGTTGGGGAATTTTTCGAAGAGTTGTCTGTTAGTTTTACTCGCGGGAGGTTCAAATTTTTCCGAATCGTTAATTTCCCCCAAATTCATTCCTGCACGACGCGGTATCGCTCGCCGAGCCGGCCCCGGCTGAGTCGTTTCGCGGAAAGGAGTGAGAAGGGGAGGGGGTGGCTGGAACCTCCCCTCCTTCCACCGTTCGGGCGTTCTTGCGCGGATAAATTGAAACATCGGAAAACGGAAATTGATTCAAACGATTCTGTCGCTTTTTTTTTCTAGTTTTTAAATCGTCGGGAAATCGGCTCCGCGACGCGGGGCTCTCGGGGGGAAGATTATTTGTTTCTGTTCCACCGCTGCTCCGTTTTTCCGTTCCGCTTCCTCCACGTCTTATTTCCGTACGTGCCGCTTTAATCCGGTTCTTGCGTGCACCTGCCGGGTGGTCGCTTGGCCTCCAGCGCGCCATCGTGTTGGTTGCAGAATTTGAAAATATATATAAAAAAGCCGCTTTTATAGTGCTTTTCGGCGCTCTGCGATACTCAGCCGCCAAAGTCACCTATCCTCCCAAAGCCCCTCAGGGAGTTGGCACTCCCTCATTTAATCTTCTAAAAACCCCTGTCACCACCATTTCACTGGTCGGTATTTAAAAATGAACTTCCAAAGACCGAAACCACGTTATTCAAAAAGGGAAATCATGAGGTTGTCCTCCGGATGTCTTGCATAAGAGGAGGAGGGAGGGTCAAGAAGTAGCCAAAATGACGTAATCTTCGAACGATGTCGGAACGATTTGAGTCTCTGCCCTCGAGCATAATTTCCTGATTTCCTTACATTTCATGAGCTTGGGAGACATGGCGTATAAGTGTTGTTTTAGCCACCTCGAGAAATACGTGTCTGAAATGTCAAAATTACATGGAGCCCAATGGCGGGAACGAAATTAAAACTTGCATTTTGATGCTTGAAAATTGAATTTGAATAGCGGATTTTTCGAAGCGTCTTTTTGCAGGCTAATCCCAGTTGTAATCAGTGAGAACAGAAAACATACCAACTTTGAAAAATAAAAGAAATTTAGACACGTACAAAACTGCTCAGTAGATGAAGAAATTAGTCGAATAAAAGATTTTCGGTGCCAAAATACATGCTTCGAAGGAAATTTTAAAGGTCCAAGTTAAAACAGATGCGCTAACTTCAATGGCCTTTGTAAAAATTGACCGCCTTTAACGAAAATTGAGTACTTTCGAGTGCCCGAGTTGGTGCGTTTTCGATTTCACTGATTCAATTCATATCACTATTCTATAAATTTGTTCCAAAACTGCACTTACGCGCCTTTTCCCCCAAAGCCCCTCATTTCAAGTTAAAATTCGAAATTACTGGGGTAATTTGTTTTTAAGTTGTTATTATGTTTCCAGATAAGGAGACTCGAGCATCGACGTCTGCGCCAGTTGGGCGGAAGATCGTCCGAGTGTTGCACTCGATCAACACAACGTCGCTGACGGCGGGAGGTGGAGGAGGGGGGCCGCCGCCCCCCGTTCCCCTTCCGCGTGCCCTTAAGCTCGTAGCCGCCGCCGCTGCCGCCAACGAGGTCCCCGATGACGCCAGCCTCTTCAGGAAGGAGCTCTGCACGGCCAAAGAGTACGAGAACATGATGGTGAGTCCTTCTTTTCTCTATAAACTAGAGTCCTGGATCGTTGTCGAATGATCTTAATCAATAAATCCTTAACTTAGTGATAATGCCATTTATCGATCAAGATTGTATCTGCTCTTCTGGGGAAAACGTTACTTAGAACTTCGGGAGTTGCCAAATTTCCTTCGATAAAGTACGAATTTTCAGGGAGATTTGTGGATATTTTTCTCCCCAATTTTTGAAGAATTGTGTTCGCAATGAGTCAGTTGCGCTAGTCTTAGAATCGTGTTTTGGCACTTGATTCTTGTAGATTAGTTATTAAACTAATAGGATTTGTCCAAACAGCAACCTCATACGTTCAATATTAACCGAAATACCGTTCTTTGAAAAGTCTGGTTTTTGATCTCCTTTATTACGCCCTAAAATCCATGAAATCTTTGGCGACTTGGGAGTTGCTTTTAAGGAAAATCAATGAAACTATCAGATTCTCTGCAAAATTTCACACAAGAATCGCTAAATAAATTAAAAGGTTAGGTAGTATACGAAAACGTGGTTGTGCCTATATGTGACCGCTCAACATTTCAAGCCGTGCACCTGGCTTACGTACACTTTTTACATTTTGAAAAATTTCACTCTCTTGAACTAACACGTTCAAAGCATGGAAAAGTGCATTAAACCCCGCTCAAAAGTTTGTGTATGCAGTTTATACTTCCTCGAATCGAGAAGCAGAAACACTCTTCTCAAATTAGACGTAACGTGGCCTATGCACCCGGCACGAGAGCTTCCACCGCACTGGTTTGAGTCTATCAGCCCTGCAGCCTTTCTAAATGGACAAAGTGCATTAAGCAAAAAGGACTTAGATGAGCACCGAGCGTCCGCGTCCTATTAATGTGATTCCTTTTTGCGTAGCAACGTCCATTTATACATATATTCGGAATACAGAGGAGTGCGGATGATCTCATTCTTTTAATAGTGCACGGAAAAGGAAAAAAAAAAAAAAAAAAAAAAAAAAAAAAAAAAAAAAAAAAAGAAAAAAAAAAAAAAACACGGTCACTGATTACCACGGAAGTAATGTCACACGGGATTCCACAGTTGTAGAACCGTGGACTTTGGTAAGATTATTGATGAGATAGTAGCATAAACATCCTCATAAGGGTAGCATTTTGTGCTCACAGTATAATAATGCGATCGACACGGTAACATCACTGCGCTCATCAAAACCCACGATTCTGTTACCTTGTAATTCCGTGTGAAATTATCACCGTGGTAACCGTAGAAAACCCGTGTTTTTTGCTCCGAATAACCTTGAAAACTTTCTTATTTGTTTTTTTTTTTTTTTTTTTTTTTTTTTTTGTTTTTTTTGTTTTTTTTTGTTTTTTTTTTTTAAATCAAAATCTTCTTTTTTTCAAATATCTTTCTGCCGAAAAAAAATCGCGCATTGTCAAAGGAAATTTGGCAATGTCTGATGATGCATACGGCGTTTTTCCTAAGCACGGCAGTGTAGGCTAACGTGTCGAACAGCCAATCAGAATAAGATTCGTGCGTGTTCAGAAATTCAACTTGAGCCAGGCGACTTCACAGTAAGTTTTTCCCCCTCCTCTCTCGCTGTCCCTCCCTCCGACCAGTGGACAGCCGAAGTTCCCGAGACTCAATCGTAATCTCGTGAAAAAAAGAACAAAAAAAGAGGCTAGAATTAGAAAAAAAGAATAACTAGGGGCGAAAAAAACTTTCTCGCGCATGGTCCCAGATGGTGCTTTGTTCTGCCGTCCATTTTTCGCACGAACGGATCCAATCACTCCCGGGAGTGAAATAACGAATTTACGACCAAGGCAAAAAATGTCCCCGTGATCATAGCACAATGTTGCCAAATTGCCTAGAGTTTTCATGCGTGTTTCGTGAGAGTGTATCACTGGAAAATTTGGTAGTTTTTTAAAATCAAGAGGAAATTCTCCTTGACATAATTACAACTTTTTAATATGAAGAAGGTTCTTGCAATATTTGTTTTTTTTTTTTTTTACTTATTTATTTAACGGATCATTAAACCCAATGAAAGTTGAATTCGTCGTACATTACAAAATTACATTTCTTTGAATGAGCGAAAAAAAACTCATATAAATTTTAAGAGCATTTTTTCACTCTAAAAAAGTTTTCTTCAATTTAAGAGCAAAATGTCTTTACATCACAAAAAAATATTCTTCAACAAAGAGAGTTTTTATTTAATTTTTAAAAAAAAAGGTTTTAAACCATCTTCTTTCAGTGTTGCATGAAATTCAGGACATGGAAAACCTGGTATGAACGGAATCCACCGGGAAACGAAAAATATTCGGGGAAATTGGAGAATATTTCGGGAAATCGATATTTTTTTTCTTCTCCATTCCGAGACCATTTTGTCCAGAAACTTGTTGCCTCTTGAAAGTTGGTGCTAAAAAATTACCAAATGTACGAGAAAATAAAAATGATTTTCCTTTAAATTCGAGAGAAATCTCATTTTTCCTCCAGAAAAAGACGGGGAAATTGAGAAAAAACCCATAGTTTCCACCCAAAATCCTTCTACAAGAAATCAGGAACAATCTTTAAATATCAAGGAAAGAGAAAAATCTAAAATGACTTTTCGGGCTAATGCGAAATGACCGATTTTTTACAACAATCGACAGTTTTCGTCGCTGAGAATTTCCGATTTCGCTTTAAAGGCCCCCCTCTTCATCAATTATTCGTCACCTCCACACCAGCCTAAGTGTCACAAGCGTCATGCGATATTTAAAAATTTCCCGCCGCAATTTTATATTTTTACAAAGAAATTGTTGGTTGAATCTGTTTGAGGATTTCACTGAATTTAATCGGCAACAAAAAGGAAATTCAAAGAAATTTTCGGACAGCTTCGTGGAACAATCTCTCTGTAAAAAAATAAAATGGCGGTGAAAATTTTTAAACTTCGCATGGCGCTTGTGATGCTTTGGCCGAAAGGTGACGAACTTTCGATATGATTTTCCTGAAAACTCGGCAACAGCGAACGCAGGCGTCGAACAGTTAACACGAGTGTATTTACGATTTAATTAAAGTTGGCTGGCCGGGACAAGCGAGTAATCTGGACGACCGGTGTGACGCGAGTATTTTTTACCCCTCTGCCCAGCTCCCGGCACCTCGGAAAACAAATCGTCGCTATGATATCACCCGCGCGATAAATCCTCCGGACACGGCGATTGGTTTTGGGCGAGCTGGAGAAAATTATTCGGGGGATAAACAATGAGGATTGGCGCAACAGTTTTGAAATAAACACTAGCGAGGCGTGCGTATGACCAGAACGCTGCACATAGAAGGAAGAAAGACAAAAAAAAGAGAGAGAAAAACAATTCGATCAGAGTTGCTACAAATTTGGCTCGTATAAAATGGTCGTCGATTTGGACAAAGATATCTAATGGACCACAAAACTGCCTTGCTAAGGAAAAACGCCGTATGAACATGCGAGAGTTGCAAAATTTCCTTCGATAAGATGTTTATTTTTGAGACAAATTATGAATATTTTCCCTTGAAATTTTCAGAAACTTTAGAAGAATTTGCGAACAAAAGTATCTGAAAAATTGGAAGAAAAATATTCATACTTTTACCAGGAACTTCGTGTTTTGTCAATGGATATTTGGCAACGCCCGAAGGTTCATACTGCGTTTTTCCTTAGCACGGCAGAAAGCGTCGCTCCTGTGACATAAAGGCGTACCTTAATTTCTACGTGACCCGTAGAAGGCATGGATTTATATGTGAAACAGAGCTCACGTTAAAAGGGATACATGCCCTTAAGCCAGAGGAGAGACGTAAACAGGGTAAGATATTGAGCGCCATGCCATGCTTTTTATCTCGTAAAAATTTCGCGCCAGTGGTGATATATTTGGACCGCGTTAAGTAGAAATGAACCAAGCCACATCAGCTATCGCAAAATTTGATCAGGCAATTTAATTTTATACATGAAAACGATTGTGCGTATTTTTATGTAAATTTCGGTGGATTTTCTGCATCGTACGAAGCTAATTCCTAGAAATATTCATAGAAATTCGCACAAACGCTCTCTTGAAAAAAATAGATTGCCCACTTAAACCTGGCAATATCTGATGTGGCTCGGTTCTTTTCTGCTAGACACGGTCCATTTCTGCCGTGCTAAGGAAGAACGCCGACATTTTGTGAGCATATTTAGCGTCGTTGAGAAAATTTCACAAAAAATGCTGAACACGTGAATCTATGAATTCTAATTTTTGAAATTGTTTTCATGTATTTTCTACACCATCTTTTGTTCAACAGGAGAATCTGTTGCTGCACATGCGGAAGAAGTTGGTGACGTTAGATGCCTGGAGTGCTGGTAGAGAGTACTTCGTCAACGCCTTGTTCAAGCATTGTGATTTAAATAGTGATTCTCGCCTTGTAGAAGAGGAGTTGAATCAGGTAATTTATTTATGAATACTATGAAATTATTATTGTAAAGTCAGGTTACCGCAAAATGTAAACGAATGCAACAAATTCCGACTCTATTTAAAAAAATATCTCGAGATGTAACAAGATTAGTCCCAGGTCATTTCCCTCTTTCAGAGCCTTCACTTTGGAAGTTAGAATTGATTTTTTTTCAAATTTTTCTCTGTTTTCTATAATTTTACACGAGTAGTGAAAATATGTTATTGCGTTTGCGTCTATAGAGACAAACATTTAGTTAATGCATTTTCGGCAAGTTGAATCGGAAAGTCGGATTTTGAAATTTCTATGGAAGTCGCCAGTTATTTTGTCCAAGTTTTTACGCCCATAAGTGGTGTGAGATACATCGCATTGCGTACAATTTTATACCATGAACCTTCGTTTGACTATTTTGGGAAGCCGTTCCAAGCTTGCAAAACACTCCTGCTCTACGTTCAAATGGACATATTTATGGCCAAATGAAATATGTGTTGGCACTAACAGCTCATATTCATTTAATCAATGTATACATGGCTCCTTGAAACAATAATACGTTCAAATATCGATAAAACTTTCATTTTCATTATTTTTATATATGGGCTCCTTTTTCGTTTGGACGGTCACAAATGTTGCGCAGATCGTTAAACATACTGTGACTCCTATGTAAGTGCCAAAATTTCATAAAATTTCATGGAGAATCCCTCTTCAAAATGATGACTCTCTGTTCATATAGGTGTTCGAGAAGGAGCATCTAGAACAGCTGTCCAAGCAGTGTGCTTTGAGTGACTTACTGGTGTTCAACGACGAGAACAAAGATGGCGAGCTCTCGCTCAACGAGTTCTACGCAGCGTTCAGTAAGTTGTACAGTAAGTGATTCCACCCCTTCCCTTCCGTACGTAGACGTGTGTCCGTAATCTCCGTTGTCTGTCCGTAATTATTTCTGTCGTCTGTCCGGTTCCTTATTACATGGTTATGGGACATCTATAAATTATATGACGCACAAACCACACAACTTTCCCTTTTCCTCAATCAGTTTGTACCCTTTTTATCGGTCTGTAACGCTGCACTGAACTCCTTGCTTCTTAGTAGTATATCTGTCGCAGGCAAATGGTCAAATGAGGCATTTTATCAAATACCTAGTCAAGTAGTTAAATATTCTTATTTAGACTGAAATTCTGATTATTTTGCTAACCGTAGACGCAATAATTCTCTAATCAAGTGGAAAATAATTCCCTGTAAAAACTTGTTTCATACGATCGTAAATTCGTTTTTTTCCAGTCCTTTATACGATATTATCTCAAAATATGCAGCATTTCGTAAAATAAAAAGTTTTCACAAAATGGACGGATGAAGAATTGTGAGGAGCAATTTTGAACGGGAAATACATGTAAAATGACAGTTTGTACTTTAACGGATTTTTGTCTCAAAATATTGACAATTAGAGAGGTCTTTGCGAAAACGTAAATAACCTCGTAAACTCTGAAAATTTAATTATCTACCTAGGTATTTGATAAATTGCCTAGATTTGACTGATTGCCCTCGACATACGTATAAAGTAGTGCTAGTCTACTTGTCTGGCCCTCAGTATCATCACTCTGTGGCACAGAGAGATCTGTGATCAGAGAGTCTGTGCGGTCAATATCAATGGACCATGAACTTTGCGAATGCGAAATTGTCTTTTTTCGTTACTAGTTGTTTCTGAGGGTAACATTAGCTTTTTCCTGGTAGAGCTAGAATGTAGGGTGGCTGTAAAGAGCAGGGTTTGTTTTATTTTGCGCATGGACTTCGTTAATCTGTTACGTCCAGATCGGAATAAGTCGATTCCCGCACCGCCTGTTCGTAGTCAGAAAGCGGTGGAATGGAGAGGGTCTAAAGGTGCTACACGTTTACTTGGAGCAGATCCAACTATCCAAGGTCCCAGTGTAGATTCCTTAAAACCCGTGTCTGAGAAATTAATGGCATCGTTGGCGGTATGTTTTGTCAGGAATGACCAGCGTTGGGCAAGTTGGGATCACTAACATAGAAAGCATGATGAGTTTCACAAACTGACAAACGCTTACCAGCACAAAATATTCGAGTTGTAATGCAATGGAATTAGCTTTCCGTGTTTTATTTCGTATGCAAAAAATATTTTCAAATATACGGAGAATTTTCATGATTATGCTATTAATAACCACTCAAAGTTCATAGCATGAACGGTCAAAAAAACGTGTGATTGAGTTTTTAAACCAACAAAACTATGCTTATTGTTACATACGGTGAACACAACTCACTAGCAGCAGCACGACGTACTAATGTGTCAATCAGGTTCTGTGTTAACTTGTTAAGTCGAATTTCAAATACTATACAATTTCTTGAAGGATATTCGTTTACTTTCCGTGAACACAATTTTAATCATATATCTTCAGTTTCACGCAGAACCAGTCATCTACAATGTATGAATCAACGCGGAGTAGGTTTTTATGCAAAATCAATTTTATGAGGAACCATCCTACTGACTGACTCACAACTATCCAGACAAATTTCCCTCTGCTCTAAAAGTAATTTCAATGATGTGATGCATGCTTTTCACGGTGCGAGGGCCTCAGAATCCTCGTTCATGCCTGACCCCAATTGAAATGAGCAACTATAACAGCACCGCAGTCGTGAAATTGCATATCTCTTTCATCGAAGGAAATTTGTTGCTTGCGATGTACACACTGCAGACTGCGCTTCAACGCTTATTCAACCCATCGATAGTGTGCCTTGGTGTATTCTGCCAAAATTGGTCCAGGTCACATTACATCGAATACAAATTTGTACCTACACTAATAGATGCGATTATTTTTAGGCTTTTTACGTCGGTCATAAATATCTGTGGATACTTCGCTGAAGAAGAATTTTGCAGAATAATTAGAGAGAAGCCGCTTTATTTTTAAAGGGGCCTTACAGCTGTAGTCATAAATTATGAAAAATCGATTAGCCTTCGCTTAATGCTCATCGTGTCATTGTGAGCGCTAGCTAACGTCTTTTCGGGCGCGGCAAAACGCAGTCAAGTTTCCGACGTTGCCTAGGCGTCGTTGAAGCTTCCGATTTTCTTTCAGATATCTGCGATTTTTAAGCAAACAGCTCAAGTTCTCTTTTAGCATAACTTCTGAGACTATTTTACAAGAGGGCATGATTTTCAATGTTACTGAACAAATTGTCAAAATGAGGAAGCCCTGGCTGTACATTATGTATGTGATATTGTGGTGAATTTTAGAGGAAAAAACATGTTTGGAGTGGAAACATTATTTAGGGTCTCGTGCCTTTAAAAGAAATTCGGACTCATTTTTGGAGATCAAAATTTTGAAAATTGAATGTTTCCCTCCAATATTTTTATTAAACACTTTAAGACGATCTCCATTCAAAATAATCAAACCGCGATGATAAAGAAAATTTCTAATAAGCTTTCCCCCTTCTTTGTTTAATTTAAGCCTTTTTTGACGTTTTTATGCACCATTTCATTCAATTATACGGCAGATAGGTATATGCATACTATGTTAGATTGATTGCAAGGAATAATGCATTAGGTAAAGTTTTTGTGAATACCTATTCAAAGTAACGTTTTATCACCGCGATGAGTGCAGATTTATTCTTCATAAAAAGGAAAGAAATATATTAAAATAATAACCGTATAAAAGTTCAAATGAAGTCAACAGTCAGGACGTTTCGGGCCAATTCCGTGTCCATTCTCAGCTGGACTTATGAACCTAAAAAATGAAAAAATAAGATACGAACCTTATGGCTCAGGTACAATTCAAAAACCTATCTATCAAATTTAAATACTGTTAAATCATTTTAAAAATACCATTAGTGACATGGATTAGTACCATGGATACAAGCATCATATTTAAACAATACTCTGTAAATACGCAGCTGTTAGAGAGTAATTTCTGTCTAAAAATGACTCGTAGTATATCACCAAATGTGGCAATGCCCTCGGAAGGGACGGTTTCTTCGTTTGATCCCTGATGCGCCGCGTGTAATTAATAACAAGTTATCTCTTCCAGGCCCCAATTTCGAGAAATCCGGGCGTTCTTTTCAATTTCAATTCCACCCAAAAAAGGGCTCGACAGAAAAACTCATCTGAAAAACTCTCTCCACAAAAAGGGAAACGAGTGAAAATCATGCTTTCTGTCCGTCTTCCTTTCCCTCCCCCTGTTTTCCGTCGGCGTTCATTGAATCTCAGTATGAAAAATTTAATTTCAAAACAGATTTTCTTTCTTTCCTTAATTCTCTGAGACATTTTTTTTTACGAATACTGAAACGGACTGTGGATCCCGGAACAATTCAAACCTCTGGCAATAAAAGCTGAGCTCCTTTTTCCTTGAAAAATAAATAAATGACCTTTTTAAGACAGACGTTGACATTTTGCCATGAATCATACATTAACGTCAAATATTGCGAATCTTTAAACGGGTTTGTGCGAATAAGATAACATTGGAAGCACGATGATGCTATTTTGTACTCCGAATACGTAGAAAAATATGCACAAAACGGACACATATTTTTAGTTAAAAAACCACCACGAACCTATGTGTTAACGGCACATATTTATTAATTCGAGAGAAAAGAAAACGTATTCTCGAAGGATTTTCATGTTAACTATTTATTGTTGATTAAATTGTCACATCGCATAAGCAAATTTAGGGTATCCTATATTTTTTCGTCAATGAATGAGGGGTTTTCCCCTTCTTCCTTTCTTACATTATGATGTATTGAAGAGAGAATATCTTACAAAGCTCTGCGGTCCACGGTTTAATATCGCTTACCTGCTGATCGTCACTAGTTTGATTATGAATATCTTAAGTGGCACTATATCCTCTTCAAAAGAATTTCCTAAGATAAGATTTTCAAGTACCGATAATATAGCAAAAATAAATTTTGAGAGTTCTGCGTTGCCAATGATGAGATTATATTATTTTACGTAGGATAAAGTAACACTAATTTGCACCCATCACTCATGACACTTCTCAGCCGATCATTTTACACAAAGATTACGTTATCCTTTTATTGTATTGGACTTTTTTCATCTTTTATCGTTGTAGGTATGTTAGTTCTCATTTGAGACGAACGTTGCCTGCTCGAAGCTTTTAAGTATTTTCGTACTGTCAATTTTTAAGATTCGCACCTCTCAGTCAGTCCGAATTAACTGCAGATCTTTTATCTTCTTGGAGACCATAGTACTTGTATTGTAATGGAGAATTTTCAACTCTGTTAAGTGATGCTTTGTTGAGTGCGTAAGGTGCTGTCTATAAACTAAGCTGCACTAAAAGTTGAAAGTTCAGATGCCTCTTTCCAACAACTTCAAGAAACTCTATTCCTTCATAAAAAATCGGCATTTTATGTGGATATTTCTCGATATCGTACTTCAATCAATTTCTTAGCTAGAACAGCGCAGAATCATCTCTGAAACTATTTCTTCAAACTTTTCCCGTTGAGATTCCTCGGATCTCCCGTTAGAACTTTGTAAAAAACCCTAAACCTCTCTTTGGAGCTGACGTAGTTTTTCAGATTGATAAGGTGCCTCAGTGCCTCACTGTACTCTCAAGACTCCATTTAATATGGTGTCCTTCTGGCTACCCCGCAGAAAGCTCCTACTTCTACCACACAACAAGATTGTTTTCTATCCATGTGACTCCCATCATAACGAACGACTTCTGGTTGTTGTGCTGCATGCTCTGTGTAGCTTTTGGCTTAAACGGATTATTTGAAGAAGAAGGCCTGGAGGACAAGGCGCATAAGTGCAGTTTTGCAATCTCAAGAAACACGTTTTCAAAGTTTCAAAATTACAAGGAGCCTTATAGCAGAAAGCAATTTTAAGCTCTCTTTTTTATTTGAAAACTGGAATTTGGGAGTGTAAATTTTTTCGAAGTATATTTCAAGACTAACTTTATTTTAAATCATAAATGTAAAATTTCCTCAAAAATTGCATTTATACGCCTTGTCCTCCAAACCCTTCATTTGAATTGTCTCTGCGGGCTGATTCTTGAAATTGATAGACAAAACTGCAGACAGAGACAACATAAGGAGCATGGAGCGATCCTACTGGTAGAACAGGGTGATTCTTGTAGACTAAGGGGGTAAATGATGGACTAATTATCGGGTCTCTCGAGGGTTGCCGTTACTTAGTCTATTATCCACGTCCTTTGTCTATTGCAACCACCAGCTTCCACCAATAGGATCCCTCCGTATCCTTTTTGTCTTCTTTGTCTCTAGCTTTGTCTATGAATGTCAAGAATCAGCCCGCTGATTTGTGTGCCGCATGCCTGGTGTCGACTTTCCGTCGTTTTGGATCTGGTTAACTAAGAGCCTTTGGATTTGTCGCAGGCGTGTCGGTGGTGAGCCTGGACAAGGCGCTGGAGACGAACCACCTGGAGGCCCGGGTGGGCGACAACGTGGAGATCAAGTGCGACGTGACGGGGAGCCCGCAGCCGCCAATCGTGTGGCGCCGCTACGACGCCGACCTGGCCTCCCTCGGCGAGGAGGACGTCCGCGTCTTCGCCGACGGCTCTCTCTACCTCACCCGCATCCAGCTCGTCCACGCTGGCAACTACACCTGCCACGCCCAGACCAACGACCAGCTCACCCAGACCCACGTCCTCACCGTCCATAGTAAGTTTCATAGTCTCTAGAGCTTCCCAACATCACACTGGTAAAAAAAACCTCTTGGACCAATGCCGCATTGCATTGACTTAAGAGTGCAGTTTCTTGTCGCCGGATTTAAAAGTCTTGAACTCTTGTTTCAAGCGGATTTTGCATTGAAACAAGAGCCCAGACTCTTAAATCCGGCGACAAGAAACTGCACTCGTGAACCAAGAGGTTTTTTTACCAGTGCAATTATTGGACTACATTTTTCAATGAGAAATTCCCATTACTAGCTTAGGTATTTTAGAAACAACGTATATGTGTCATCACTTTCCCTTTGTAGATAGGACTTTTAGGAAGATATTGTTGCGGTTACAGGACATTTCGTCAACGATTTTTTGTCGGAGCACTTGTTACTTCCGGTAGTTTAAGTACACGCGTTTTTGCGGCAGGGGAGTTTTTGCCCACTTATCAATTATTGAGACCCAAAGTTAATTGGTCAACATGCAAATACAAACAACATTTGCTCACGACGTTTTTGGATGAGATGTATAATGTCTTGGAAGAATGAGGGTTTGCTCGTTTTTTGTTTGTTTGGTTGGCCAAACGAAAACAAATATATAATTGAGAATTTTGGCGTCAATTCCATGAGGGAAAATTCACTAAAACTCTCTACACCTCTTTGGTGCAACAGGTCTTAATTATCTTTCAAGAAAATGCCATCCTCTTACAACTGAACCGGATGAACCATTTGATTTTCCTTAGCTAAAGGCTCCTAGATTTTTCCTGTGTACGATAACTTCGCGACGGCGCCGGCGTGCCGCGGCGCTTCAAACCACTATCTCGCCATGAAGGCGTTGCACAGTATCATACAAGATTGAAAGCACCCCAACGTATCATGATTAATGGCATCTTTCAAAAGCACGAAGCTCCCTCGCAAATTAAATCGAGTGACGACGAAAAAAAGAGAGCTGTAGTCGAAAAACTTGCTAAGTCCTAGTATCTGGATCCAGTAATGTTAAGCATGGTTTTTGCACTTAATTAGAGGAAAAAGTGACTCAATTCAAGCAGAAATATGCTCAAATTTACCGCCGAGAAGATTTCCTTATAAATCAATACAGAGAAAAATGCCTGTTTAGAGAAAAAAGGATGCTAAAATAAAAAGAAAAGTCACTTAAATCAAGCAGAAACCCGCTTTTATTCAGCTATTTTATTCTTGATTCAAAATAAAATCTTCTTGACGGCGTACTCAATAATGTTTCTGCCTAAATCAAGTCACATTTTTCTCTAATGAAATTCAAACATTATGCTAAAAGTTATTAAATACGGATGCTAGGACTAAGTGAGTTTTTTAGATTACCGCTTTCTTTTTGTAACGTAGTATCGTGATTTATTTTGCAGGGAAAGCTCTGTACCCTTAAAGGAAGTTTGTCATTCTTGATACGTTGGAGCGCTTTTACTCTCGTATGATACTGAGCAGCACCTATGTCGCGAAATAGTTGCTTGAAACGCCGTAGCACTCCGCGGCGTGGCGGGCGACCAGCGTGACACGCGCATAGGCGCCTACAAACCTAACCGGGATACTTCACGCATTGCGCAACGCGTGAAGTATCCTGTTAGGTTTGTAGGCGCCAGTGCGCATTTTGCTCTGTGTTAGGCTGTAATATTAAAACTCGCGGAGTCAGCGTTTTTCAACTCATGATTTTGAAATGTTTGCACGCTCTGCACGGATTATTCTCATTTAAATTGATGAAAAAAAAATATATGTATTGAAGGAAAATGTAACGTGTGTTTTGAAAATATTCAGGTGGTTCCGTGTCTAATTTAATGATTTCCAAAGCTTTTTAATTTTTCCTTTAACATACATAGAATATTTTCAAAAGTTGCAAAGGCGCAGGAACGCATTTTTGAGTTTAGCCATGGATATATCAATTAATGAGTTTCAAAATTGCCTACTTTATTTATTCCTAAGAGTTTTCCCGGGCGAAAATCACGTAATGTTTAGGAATACATTTAACTTAACATCGGTACCTCGTGCAATAGCATGATTGTGAATAGACATCTGCTTTGTTGTGAACCAATGTACATGGTATAGCCATCGACATCGATTTGATGACCTAATAGTTTCCCCACATCATCGATATTATTCGTAAAATAATGATGTTTGTCTGCATTTCAGCCGTACCTCAAGTTAAAGTGACACCAAAAATTCAATCCCGTCGCCCAGGAGAGGTAGCCTCAATGCTCTGTCATGTTGTCGGAGAACCATTTCCCAAGGTAAGAAAAGGACTCTCTTTTTGTCAGCCTACCTAATTTCTGGATTTTTCTAAGATTTTGATTCAAACACGTGTGGTTATAACGCTCCCTCTCCCTAAGGGGGAGCTAGCAGGACTCCCAAATGGTTCCCTCAAGCTCCTTCAGGTTTTCCATGAAACCTGGGCTAGTTCCCAATGGGTTCCCATGAGAACCCGTACCGTAGTTTCCCCATGAGACCATTTTCACTGGGCGGACAGAAATCTTCGTCCCTCTGACGTAAAGGCGTACACCTATCTTGATTTCTACGTGAGCCCTTTTTTACATATGAATTCATGCTTTTTAGGGCTCATGCAGATACCGAGATACGCCCTTGCGCCAGAGGCGCGACGAAATATAATCGTCGTTAAGTTTCCTGAGGATAATGAAGAATCCAGTAACCAACATTTTTTTTTCCATCCCTGTATATTTAAGATAATTTAAACCGATAAGAAGTTAGGTGGTGCAAATGTTGCTGGAATCACACGTTGAATGTGGAAGTCAACTGTCATCGCTGAACGGCTGAAATTTTGCAAATTCGAGTTTTACACGCAGATTTGTATCAAATCTATTCGCACAGTTCAGACAAACCCAACATTATCCAATGGTCGCTGAGCCTCGTTACTGAATTTTGCGCGGCACGCGCAAAATTCAGGCATCGGACCGATGACTTCCACATTCAAGCCACATTCAACCCCAACATTCAGAGTGTGATTCCGGTGTGAGCCTTGGACTGTGGTTGTTGTTGCAGGTTGACTGGCTGAAGAATAAGGAGCCGCTGCGGCTGGACTCGCCGCGCAAGTACGAGGTGGTCGGCAACGGGACCGAGCTCCGAATCCGGAACACGGAGTACGCCGACACGGGCGCCTTCATGTGCCAAGCCTCCAACATCGGCGGTGTCACCCGCGACATCTCCTCGCTCATCATTCAAGAACAGCCCACTCCGAGTAAGCCTCAACCTCTCTTTATTCATGGTTCACCGACGCTTTACCCAAAAGAACAGGGAATTCAAAAATAAGGCTTTTCAAAAGATATCGCAAGCACAGTGCACCCATTCCATGTCCGTCAACAGGTCCGGGATTCGGAACTTTTTTGTTCCAATTCCTTTCACTCCAAAAGTTCCGGGATTCTCTATGGATTTTTTCAAAAGTCCCGATAAAGTACCGGATAATGCAAAAGATATTGAAAATTTTGGATATTTCAAAAGTTCCGAGAAACATTCAGGAAAATCACAAAAGTTCCGGAATTCGGTGCTAATTTCGGGAAATGGGAGCACTGCGCAAGCATAGGGGAAAAAGTTCGGTGCATATTGAACGTCAAAGTCTTTCGGTTCACCTACCTTAACAAAGATTTCAGTCATATAAGCTAAACTTTGATTCGGGTGACCGAAAACTTCGGTTTCCTGAAAGGAAAAACTTAGTTGTTTAAAACGCTACTACGAATCTGGGTGTTTTTTTGGACATTTTAAAACCACCTCGTGCGACACGCACTCAAAAAAAAGGGGGGGAAATACGAATAAAAGTTCAGACCCTGTTATTGAAGTTTTATTTTCATTGTCAGTTTGGTGTTTGAGTTGGACATTTTTTTAAATGATCCTCAATTTTTCGTAAAATTCTTAGTGATCATCCCTTCCTCCCTTTTCCTTTCCGCGTTTTTTCCTTCCTTCAACTTGCGCAACTTAAGTGCCGTACTTAATGACTTTAATTACTTAAGATGCGGAACTTACGGCATGAAAGTCAAGTGTGAATGAGGTTTTTTGACGAATCGTCGGTCGCATTGACGTTGATTGTCAACTTGCGCGACTGAAATTTCATAGGTCATCTATTTGAAATCATTTGTGTGATTAAGAATCGATGAGTTTCGCCTTTAATTGTAAAAACGCACTCTCTGCATGCTAGAGAGGTTACGGCGTAGTACGAAAGTGTGCGTGAAAAGAAAGTAATAATTTGTTGTTGTGATAATTTCAAACAAAATTAAGTTATTTGAAACAACGTTGCGATTTTTAATTTGCTTAATGAAAATATCTGATACTTTTTTTAGCGGCCCCGAATGAGGAACGGCGATTTTTCACCTTCCACGATTGGGGAGTGTCTGTCTATGAACCATCTGCCTGTCGCCTTTACCACCAAATCCAGTCAACGGATATAATACCTGGGACACAGGTCAGTTACGCTGATGTCTTACATGAATTTTTCATTTCTTAACTTTCCAGATCTTATACGAGATCTTTTTTTTAAAAAAAATTAGGCCTATTGTTCTATCTACAGATTCAATTTGAGTCGGTCAGTTGTGCAACGGCTCAAATCGGGATTTTTCACAATTTTCACCATTTTGGAGAAAACATTTCTCAGGCATATACCGTGAGCAGGATTAGTTTTCATATATCAGAACAGGAAGTGCCGAAGTAAATGAAAATCTTGAGAACGCATAATATAATCCGTCCCCCCTCTTCTCCTAAATGCTCCTCATTGCAAAATGTGGGTATGGGGGTTAAAAATAATTTAAATATTGCCCTCTCGAAGAGAAAAAATAAAAGAGACTGAAACGTCACAGCGAAGGGCAACACATCTCATACTTTATACTGTACAAACATTGGTTAAGGTGATTCGACGGACGCCATATTTTGTATCAGAACAACGTGCGATATATCGCATCGATTGGCTCTATTTTTCAGCTACTAATCATTTTTCTCGAATTTTGAGATCGACTCCTCGAGTTTAAATATTAGCGCCTAACACAGAGCGGAGCGGCCGGCCTGCTGCCATGCCAGCGCGACATGCGTACTGGCGCCTACAAACCTAACAGGGATACTTCACGCATTGCGCAATGCGTGAAGTATCCCTGTTAGGTTTGTAGGCGCCAATGCGCGTGTCACGCTGGTCGCCCTCGCCCGCCGCGGCGCGCCACGACGCTTCAAGTAACTATTTCGCAACAGAAGTGTTGCACAGTAACATACGAAATTGAAAGCGCTTCAACGTATCAAGAGAGACAGGCATTCTTTTAGGTGATTCGATGGACGCCATATTTTGTGTTAGAACGGCATGCGATAAATCGCATCAATTGGTTCCATTTTTTCAACTACTCGTCATTTTTCTAAATTTTGAGATCGCAATTCTGTTGTCAGGAGACTAAAGCACTCACTTACCAATTGTAACAAAGAAATTCAAGGTTATAAACGCGTGGTTTTTTTTTAGAAAGAAAACATAGCATTCAATACTGATATCGAAACTGCACTTGAATGCGATATTTTCTCTTTAAGAAAATCACGCCTTTATTACGTTGAATTTCTTTGTGAAAATTGGTAAGTGAGTGATTTAGTCTCCTTACAACAGAATTGCGATCTCAAAATTGGAAAAAAAATGACGAGTAGCTGAAAAAATGGAACCAATTGATGCGCCACATTGCATGCCGCTCTGACACAAAATATGGCGTCCATCGAATCACCTTAAGCAGTATTGATATAATTTTACTACTAATCCCGCCTCTCTTTTCTATCTACTTTGACCTCCTCGTTCATGTTTTAGGAGTATGTCTGTGGCGACAAAGGTGTTAACTGTAGTTGGGGTCAAGCAATCAATGTCGCAAACCGGTATATTTACGTCACCCAGCCGACAAAGGATAGAGTTCTTGTAATAAGCAAGATTCAAATGGTCGTTGTTGATGTAAGTCAATAATTTTCTTAAAACATTCTTTCCTCTCCTTTCTCTACAAGCCTCTGGATCATGAGAATATCACATAAAAGAAGTTTTTTTAAGTGATATATAAATCAACAACGCAGTTCCTAAAATATAATTAATCCACTAAGGATTCTTTCATGGATAATCTTAGAACATGGTCACCCCTGTTAGATTCTCAAAATTTATTTACATTTTTAAACACACATTTGCAGCTTTCTATGACTATGTACTATTACCAAGGAAGAACTACAACTGTCCGTACTTAACTACTACTACTAACTGAGGTTTTGAGAGGGATCTAGGCATTTTTGCTCCAAGTGAATTTCATTGCATGATTTGTTTCGCAGGTGGTAGCCACAGACAGTTATCCTGTGGCATTGCACTATGTGCCACATCTGGACCAAGTGTGGGTGTTAAATTGGAGGGACACAAGCCAAAGCGGCGCAGGGACGGTGCAAGTGATCAGGGGTGCAGCTCAGAAACGCAAGCACCACACCGTCCATCCAGAGCCAATAGATGGTCACTTTGATCTTGTCAATGACCTCTTTATGCCACCTGTTCAGGTATGTCACATAAGACTACACAAATTCTCGATGCTTTAATTAATAAAAATGTAAACGACCATAGAAGAAATGCACAGGGGCAGACAGGCAAGCGAGAAAACCGGGAAAAATCCTGGTTGGCCGCGCTATTAAGGATAATACTGCCGTGCTATGAAAGAACGCCGTATGAATCTTCAAGCGTTGTCATTTTCCTTCGATACAAAACGAATTTACTGGAAAAATTGTGAATATTTTTCTTCGAATTTTCAAAAAATTGTGTTCGCAATTTGATCTACAATATTTGAAAATTTCAAAGAAAAATATGCATAACATTCCTCAAAAATGCATGTTTTATTTGGGGAAATTTTGCAACTCTCAAATACTCATACGGCGTTTTTCCTTAGCTCGGCAGAATATTGGATCGGATTTTTACCTCGCACGTCGAAAAAAAAAAACCAAAATGGGCCGTTTCAGGCATTTTGGAATGAGGAAATCTCCGATCAAGGTTGCAAGCGGTTTAGTTCATTGTTGTGCCAATAAAGGCTGCTGAGTTGAATTAAAGTTCAAGCAGTTTACATGTAACAAATTATACTTTTAAATAGTTTTTCACGAAACTACGCTTTTGAATTGCTCACTGAACCCACCATAATTCCGATTTGATCCTAAATTTTTCGGCGTTTTTGTGAAACTCTTGGTGATAATTTTGGTTACAATGCAAATAATTTTAATTGAGTTTTATTAGTTACTCTTCTCGTCCATTGAACATGCACAAGCACCTAGTAAAAAAGAAAATATTGCTGATCTGTATATTATTAGGATCCTGACAAAGTCTACACAAGAATACTTCGAAGACACTGATTTTGTAACATTCGTTTTTTGCGTGTTTCTGTCACAGGACATGAACCATATGCTGAAATATGGATATGTTAGCCATACAAATCAACGAGGGCTATACAAATTGGATCTAGGAAATATGCGGTATGTTCGCAGTGTAGACTTGTCACCATACAACTGTGTTCCTCAAACAATGCAGTTTTCAGCTCTATGTAAGTCCAAATGATTTGTCTTATTCATTGTCAGCTTCTAAATGTGTTGTATCTATGCTGCAGTGTTCTTCTTGGTCATAGGATCAAATAAACGCGCAGGCTTTATAAATCCACAACAAAAACATTTTGAGTATTTTATTCTGTATCCTTACTTCTAGTTTATGAGAAAATTTTGAAAAAAAGAAGAAAAAAATGCATTTCGAGCTCTCTAGGTCTCTTCTTAATACGTATGTCAGTATTTGCTACAACAAGGCCCACACAACTTAAGAATGGGAACGTGGCAAGAGATGTTTGCAGGGTTATAAAAAAGTTACAAGTTCGTAAAATTTCGTGCGAGAGGCTCATTAAAAAGTTAAAAAAAATAATAATTTTTTAAAGGAAGAAGAAGCATACAACAGCATTTGTTCACAATATATGTGTATAACTTGATTTATATATCTTCATTTTTTATTCAGTCAGTGTATAATATTGATATATTTTACTCTGTTCAGACGGGTTTGTCATAATTGAGTGCGTAGAGCCATTAACGAAAGAAGAGACAGGCCAACTATTACTGGACTACTTGACGGACACCGTGATAAGTGTAAAGCCAGAACTAATTGGCACTCCCACACTCTCGCCCAATAGCCGGATATTGGTGACGTTATCCAGGAAAGCTGATGGAGTCACTCTAATCATTCAACAAGTGACCGGTAAATGTTTGCTATTTTATCCTCATACTCCCAACATAAAAATCTAATTGTTCAATCTTAAAATTGAAAGTGTTAGGGAACAACCGCAAAATAAATACCTTTGGCTAATACCTCCAAATGATCTTTTTCTCCAATTTTGACACTAAACTAGCATCGTATGACTTAAAAATCCTCACAATAAGTTCAAGGAATAATGTGTCATCAAGTCCAAGCATACTTAGGTGTTTTTTTCCCCTTTTTTTCTATTTTTCTCTTTTTTTATTGTTGTTTTCCAGCACAATTAAACGGCCGGTATGCAATGTAATATACAATTTCGATCGCTTAGTGCTTCATAGAGTTAGAAAAAAGGCAACCTCCCTATACTTGTACATTTATGCAATTCAACATGGATGCACTTCAAAATGAAGGCTTAGGTTTTAAATCATTCGAAGGCATTATCAAAGTGTTCGGCTATTGATGCTCTGTGCATCGATACGCAAATTATTTTCTCAAATAATGGTATATTGAAAGTAACTTGTAATTTTTCACTTTCAGAGGGAGGTCTGAAATTTTTGTTTGATGTGAAAACAACATTAAACATTAGTGACTTGACATTCTATCCTTCTCAAACTACCCATGGATATGATCTTTATGCCAGCGCCATTGACAAGGAGGACATCCTCTTCTTGAATTTGGTCACAGGTAAGATCTCCAACAAGCTTTATTTAATATGTAGTTAAGGCGAACAAAATTTCCATCGTGAGTGCACTAACACATTGTGGTTTGTGATAAAGAAAAAAAGTGCGAGTCGGCTTCATTGATACCAACGTAGGTAAAAAGTTAAGACCGTGCTTCGGCGGTCCTGCGCTCCATTTTAGGTACCGTTTACTCGGTAGGCGGTACTCTCGTATCAAAGTAAACTCATGGACTGTTTCGTGTTAAATTCCCAATTATTTTTGGGGTCAAACAAAGAGGCTTTAAGAAACCACAAAAATTGTCATTTTCCAGCTGGAAAACCAAAACTCAAGGCCACCGGCGGATACTGAATTTTTTTCTTCGTGCATTTCACCCTTTCAACGATTTACCCTGTATGGAAAAAATCACCGTGTCCTAATCGAATTTCGGAAAATTGTGAGAATTCAACCACCTTGGAGGGGCCCCCTCGTGGTCTGAGACCCCGGGGCGATGACCCTTCCCCCCATCCGGTACTGCACCCATTATACATTGTTTTCTCCCCCCCCCATCCGGTATTGCACCCACTATATTACATTGTTTCCTCCCCCCCATCCGATACTGCACCCATTATACATTGTCCCCCCTCATTTCTACCGACAAATCTAAAATCTAAATTCTGAACTGCAACTTCATTCGTTTGCCAACAGGTAAGGTAGAGATGATCACCGGCGTGGGGCGAGCGATGAAACCCGCGTTGGCGCAATGGGGGAACCCGAATCGGCCGATCGCAGCATCCGGGATCTTCGGGCACTACATGGTGACGCCTGCCGATGAGGCGCTTTTTGTGATTAATGGTGAGACTCGCACGGTCAACTGTGAGATCGGTGGTCTTGTCCACCCGCGATCCGTTGTCTGGGTCACCATGCAGCTCCAGTAAGACACCACTTTTGCCTCTCTTGACCGTCTCAAGGGTGGGAATTTCTGAGCCCCGAAGCTCTAGACAGGTTATCTACGGATTCACTGATTGAACGACTACGCCGAGAGGAAATTTCGGTCTTATGAAACGCAGGAAGGTATCGTATATCCATTATACTAATTGTGTCCATGTATACATTAACCGGCTCTTGTTGCCGCACTTCGATTCATGTAACCGAACACTCAAACCAGAGTGAAATGTTAAAATAGTTCTGCAGCATGAACCGAGCTGTGGAGGACTTCGGTTGCATGAGCCGAGGAATCTTTCATCAAAATCGAAATTACAGATTCATGGACCATGTAGCACGGCCGAGTTACAACACCACTTTACGATGCATACGGCCGAAATTTCCTTCTCAATGCAGCAGTGAAGTACGTCTGATCTTGAAAATTTGACGACGGTCTTTCTCTTGCGGGACAAGGTATGAAGTCCTCGAGATTGTAAGGTGAGGAACAATTGGTATTTTTATTTTCCAGACATTTGGTTGTAGATAACCTCAAGAAAACAAGCCTGATAGATAAAAAAAGGTCACTCGCATGATGATATACATGTATCTCGGTTAAGTTAAAAAATCATCCCATTTCAAAATTTTTTTTGAAAAAATGAACATCATTGAATTTGAATAAGGGAGACCTAGTAGTTTATTCTTTCAAATGTAGCTTTCAATTTAAGATTTATTAATGGCAATGACTATCATAGTTAAGATCATTATCTTGACATTTACATTATCACGAAAATATAAGCTCGTTGCACATTTTTCAAGTCTGTAAATTCTGTAAACTCTCTGCATAGCAAAATGTGAACGGGTCTACCTTTTTTTCCGAAATGGAGAGGTTTTTATTGTTGAGAAAATATTCCACAAACCTTGAGCCTTATCCTGACCTGCCATTAATGTTTGCATTCTTGTCATTCACATGACGATTTTGTTTTGTTTTGATACTTTGTTCAGGCGTGAACATAAAAGAAAATTATTACGTCCTAGCGTCGGACCCATTCTACAGCAACCTATACCTTTGCTATTTAGGTTGTCTTCTCATACATTTTGAGCGGAAGTACTTACCTACGACGTTCAAGAAATAACTAACCTCCCAACCTCAGAGAAATTTTTCCTGGGACACGTTATATTACAGAGAGAGTTCACTGGTTGGCATTTTTGCCTTCAAAAAATTTAATCTCCTACCATGGAAGGTTAATTGTCTGATAAATTTGTTTATCACACAAAATATCTGTAGATGCAAGTTCATACTTTTTCGCGAGAATTTAATCTTTTTTAAGCATCTTCAGTGAACAGCTGCTTTTTTTCAAAACTCCCGCCATTCTTTTGAACATCACGCAAAATTGAACGTTAGAATTTATTCAATCGACGTATCCTATCCTAATTTTAAAAGTCCAAAAATTTTTTATAGCTAATTTTTTTAACTAAATTACTTAGGAAACTTAAGGAGGTCTCTAAAAGTAGTTTTTACAGCTCAGACAACTTTAAATTCATTGTGTTAAGTCATCGTGTGTCTGTTACTAAGCTGTTGTAATTTTAACTAGCATGTAATCATACAGCTTTTCTTCATTATTCTTTTAATGGAAAGCTCCCTAAGGTTATTAATAAAATGTCAAAGAAAAATCTATTGCTCACCAACATATCATTCGCATCTTCATATGCCAAATATTTGTCCAAAAACTTGGAATCGCTCTCACATTTATGGTGAAATATATCATGTAAAGGCAACAGGTGACTCATCATAAACAAACGTGTTCAACTTCAATGTATCAAAAAATTAGCCGGGAATGTACTCTCTTTTCTGAGAAGAATATACGTATCACGGAGTATCTTGTATATAAGCATGTAGGGAATGTTTTGCTCGGCATTTTCTTTTAACGTCGAAAACTTAATGAAATTAATGAATAGTTCAAATACCTCATATCTTCATTTGATTTTCTCTAAGAATTTCGTTTTTTTACACAAGAATCCTTTAACTGGATTGATTTCTGGTGCGTTTCCTTGACACTCTGGTGATCATTGTGCAAGCTCTCAGGTATGACTGGGTTATCAAAAACATGCATATCTTAACAGTGATGCTTCAGAAAAACATGTGTTCAGCCGTTTAAAAGGAATCAAAATAAAATGCACCATCTACATTTTCGAAGAATACGTTTAATGTTAAGTCCAGAAGAATCTTTAGGTTCTCCACAAGACACTAACCAAAGAAGATTAAACAATCTGGAACATCCCAAATTGAGATTTGTACCTACGTATCCCGTCATCGAAACTATGAGCTCTGAGGCTGATGAGGCGGATTACAGCAGTTTTTAATCAGCGTGCTTTTCATCTAGTCATTTTCTAGTCATTTGTAGTATTTTTCTGTGAGACACATTGTAAACTTAGCTAGTCTAATTCCCTCTTACATAATTTTGATAGTATGTTTTTTTTTCAATTTCACTACGAAAGTTTTATTTAATTTTGTTTTAATTTTTTTTTTAGAGTTTAGTCAAGATTAAGCCAATTTTTCATTGCCCTTAAATCTTCGTCGATAATAAATGGAATAGTTTTAATTCTTTAATTTTAATCATATAGTGATAGTCCAGAGCGGAATGATCAAATAACTAGGGGAAGTATTACTTTTGTACCTATGCTTATCCCAATGTAGCAGAAATTCAGAATTCCGTGTGGTTAATGGACTATTTACTGATTATTTATAAACCTAACACATAAAATTTTATTTCATGGTCAAATTTCTGAATATTAAGTAGCAAATCTATTGCGGTTCCTTCTCAGCAAATGTCTACGTTTGAAAACTATGCTGCATGGGTTGTGATGTTTTTGGCTTCTTTTTTTTTAGTTTTATCTCGCATCTTTTTGAAGGCTATGAATGAAGAAAGTTTCTTGTTTCATTTTTTTTAATTGCATTGTGCTAGGGAATGTACTAACCGTTTGAGGATGTATAGGATAATTTCATTCATAAATAGAGAATTACGATGCAGATACTAAGCCCTCAAACTTTAGGTATATCTATCAGGTAAGTTGAAAGTTACAGATGTAGGCAATCCTCAACTGGGTTAATTACTAGCGCATTTTTTCAATCAAAGAAGGTAGACTGATTTGGACAGTTTCCAGCCTTCCAGGCAAAACTAGCAAAATTTCTCGCATTGAATAGCTCGAGCTAAAGAAGCACTCGTCTCCTGAACACAACGTGAATACAACATGAAATAATTATTTGGGTGGATATCTCTTATTTTCTTTTTTTTTCGAACCGCTTTTTTTTAAGTGCCAAGCTTAAAGTTGAATCAAAGAAATTGCTGTAAGCTTAAAATATTCCGTTATCATACAAGATTTTAATTAGTTCAGTGTACAAATAAAGGTTTTAACTTTTCGCTAATACAATGTTCAACAAGTCTTCTTTCTCTGTTCCAAATGAGTTATATCGACTGTTACAAGTCAAATCAAATCAAATTCTTTCTCAAGTAATGATTATCATGTAGCGAATATACATCAGTTTGTTTCCAATTTAAAGTAATTTTGTAATGATACAGTGTTATATTTTTGTACAAATTTGTATTATTGCTGAGATCTGTCCTGTACATTGGCTATTTATTTTATAACAATGTGTATGTATTTTTAAAAAGTGTTTTTCACTGCAGCCGCCAGTAGCTTGGCGGCAGCCACCTTCAAACTGATTTTGATGTTCCATTGTAATTGTAATTGTTTTTATCTTTGAAATTAAACCATGCGTTTATGTTTTAACATTAATCACTGTTTAATTTAATATCTGGCAAATCATCACCACTCCTTAAAGAAAGATCTCACCTATTCTTTCCATTCAAGTTGTGACCGATTAATTTTTTTTTTTTTTACCCAACAAGTTGATGTCCGAGACTTTATTACTAGTTATCATGATCTAGATTACGTATTTGCGATCTTGTCTATTTGCTAAGATCATTGAATACACGATCGATGAGGATTCAGCAGCTACCCCTCAGTGCTAACGTCAAAAAGTGCTGATAAAAATCTACGTTCCCAGGATTTTGCACTAACATGTACATCAAAACTAAGGAGGAGAATACTGAAGAAGTTATTGAAATAACTAAAGTATTGCTTTCAAAAATCCACCGAAAAAGTATCTTAAAAACATGTTTACTCTTAAGAAGGATTTTTCTCCTCCAATTTTACTCGTTTTCCGATGGAAAATTTTTCCTTTCGATCATAATTTTCAGTGAAATACACTTCAATCTGTTCTAATGATTTCCCTTCAGTCTCGGGCAGATAGAAATATAAATAGAGGGTACCTAAAATTGTAGCCGTCCCGTATAGGTACATCACACCGCTTAAATCTACCCATGCCTCTATGTACAGGTATGATTTGACTTCGGCAGCCCCCATTAACTTCGAGAAAGCAGCAGAGATTCCAGTTGCAAGGCCGCGGCCTCTGAAAATAAAATAAGTAAACATGGAATGAGCGTAACTTTCCTGACAACTATTATATTAGTTGACAAAGAAATGGGACAGTTGAACTTAACTTATTGGAAATTTAACAACAATTTTTTAACTTTGTTTTTTTTCTTTTCACTTTTCTTTTATTTTGTCTTTTTTGTTCTTTTTTTCTTGGCTAAGGGAAATTCATTCATTCTTTTGCACCCAAGTGTAACTGTTGAAAGGTTAACCCTGAGGGCGTCTAATTAAAATAGTCATTAATTTACATTTCGACGGTGAAAGTCGGCAATCACATAACTCGATTTGCGACGTCGCAGACTTCCTGTCATACTTTATTCTTTAAACGGAAAACTACTCAACGGTAATTCCTTAAAACTGCCGTGATTTTTCTTCTATGTGCGAGGAAAATTCTGCAAAAACTGCAAGGAATCATGTCCATTTGTTCTCCTTTAAAAGAATAACATAGTTGCGGAGATTTTTAGACACCGCAAAAGAGTTACGTGATTGCCGACTTGCACCGTCGATTTGCCTTAGTTTTCTTTTTCACCAATGCGCAATTTTAACAATAGACTTCGATTCTATGCTTTAAATACTGTACATTTTTTTGTAGAATTTGATCTTTTGGCGTATGTACTTGCTGAACCTAAATTTACTCATTACCTATTTTCCTTTATGATACGAATTAGTTCCTTTCTGTGGAACTCAGTTCGTCTCATTCTCTGTGTGTTGCAATATAAGTTTTTTCCGATCATACGAAAAAAAAGAAGAAGAAAAGAGTGTCTTTGAGGTAGCGGGCTTGAGGGGCTTTGAGGACAAGGCGCACAAGTTCAGTTTTTGGAAAAATTGAGATATTGATGGAATCAAGTAAACTAATCTTAAAGCATGTATATTCTGTGAGAAATTTGCTCCCCAATTCCAATTTTTAAGCGTCAAAAAGTCAGTTTGAACTTTTTTTCCGCCATAAGGATCCGTGTAATTTCAAAACGTCATACACGTATTCCTCGAAATAGTAAAAACTGCACTTATGCACCTTGCTTGCCGTCCAAGTTACTCAATTCAAAAACTTACATAATGGGGAAAAGCTCAGATACCAACTGCCAAGCCAAAAGCGCTGGGCCGAAACCACCAAAGAAGCTGATGCTCAGCCAAAACACGACCGGCAGCCACGCCAGCAGTGGGAATTGCTTTGAGCCTTTGAGGTAAGCGTAATGGATCCCGAGTCCGAACATGGATATGGCAATTACAGTGTTGCAAAATATGGCTATCTTCCGCTTCCCGAATCGCCGCAAGAACATCACATTCATCATTGCACCGATGAACAACAGAACTTGCGAGTATATCTATAAGCACAGACGCTGTGTGAGATTCAAATCATATTATATCACATTTTTTAGACTTGTTAGTTACAGAAGTAATGACTGAATCATTTCATGACCATAAAATACATCGAGTCGTAATTTAATGAAGTGAGCTGGGATCATGTTCTGGTCGAAGAGTCCCGAGCCCGGTGTGCATAGATATTTGGTCACCTTTTCGATACATTTTCGATCCAAAATGACGATGAATAATAAGTAAACTCTCCAATCTCTAAGAGAGTAAAATTGCATATCCATGAAATGAAGGAGAACATGGTGTCCTATATCATCCCAACGATTCGGTTCGTTAAATCCAAGTTACAGTTCGTGTATGTAACCGAACGCTCGTGGATCGTATAACCGAACTTATAAGGTAAAAGGAACTTATGAAAGAAGTTCGGCTACATTAACCGACCGTTTGGCCACACGAATAAAAAAATCGGTATCATTCTGAAAAGTGAACGTTGAATGCCGATGATTACAAAAACTTATGACAAGAATATCGATATTTTATAAAATTAGTGAGAACGATCTGGTTTTTTTTAAAACAAACGAGTGCGATAGTGTTAAATTTTTAGAAAATTACTGCAAACGTGCAGTGTCATAGGGCGTAAGCTAAATCTTTGGTTGCTCGAAACTATGCGGAAGCCGAAGAACTTTCTACACCCCTAGAGTTTTCCCTCCGATTTTTAGGTGGGAATTTGTTTTCTCCCTGAATCCGTAGGAAAAGTTTTTTTTTTTTTTTTTTTTTTTTTTTATAGCAAAGAAGTAAAATGCCAAACATTGAAAGTATCTTCAACTTATTAGCCAAGGTAAAACCAAAATAATTCACAAAATTGACCCAAGCTTCTTTCTCATGATCTCCTACCGACGAACCTAGTAAAACAATATTTTTAAATTCCATCGTTTGCTTTTAGAAAATGTTTGGTTATATGAATTGTATTTGGAATAAAGTAAGTTAAAAAGTAAATCATAAACTCACTAATATAAGTTTAGCATCAATGGGAGTGTCCAATTTCTGCAGTTCTCCGATCAGATACGGCCTAATCGCGCAGAAGTAGGCCAACGAGCAAATGAAAAACACGATACATATCTGTCGAAATGGAAGGAGCACTTTCTTGCGGGTCATTTCCGTGAGCTGCATTTTCAGAAAAGCTATTTTCGTCCTCGGCTTATCATCTGCAATTGATATTCTTTTAAAATTAAACATATTTATTCTAGCTTATTTAAGTTGGTTAAAATTGACACCCCTAAAGTTTAAATCTACTTTCCCACTTTAAACCATTGTAAGTACCTATCCTTATTAAAGTTGGCTTATGGTTTCAAGTGGACGTATTTATGCTAAAAGGAATAATATGCAAAGGGTTTGCGTGCAGGAGAGAGAGAGAGAGAGAGAGAGGGGGAGAGAGAGAGAGAGAGAGTGGCTCTTTTTTCTACAAAGATATTTGAGACTTTCATTTAATCATGATAATATTTGAAAACGGTAACATAGTTTAATTCAAGAATAATTATCAGAGTGAAAAAAAAATAGATGAAATGAGGTTCCCCAAGTAAATGCAAATGGTGCAGGGCAAGATCAGCGCTCAGGGGCCCGGTGTGCTGGCCATTAAAGGCTCCGAAGCTTAAAATTCTACTGCTCCATGACACACAAAATTCTAGTCTTAAGGCCTCTCTAATTCCGTCTTTTAGGCTCCAAAGACCCCTTAAATGTCAAGGGGGAAAACAATTGCCCAGATGGGCCTGTGGGGTATATATTGATGTTGCACCCCAGGTAAGATCTTAAACTGGTTTCCTCTTACGATTTTAAAATATGACCGAAATATGCATTTTACGTGGTTACCTCCAGCCTGATTCAAGCCGACAGATTTTTTCGCATGCTTCACCAGAGCTTGAAACTCCTCCTCCACCTCGTCTGGTTTGACCCAACCTCTCAACCAGCATAAAGCTTTTTTTGCTTCCTCCAACCGATTTCTTACCACTAACCACGTTGGAGACTCGGGAATCTATGAAAGCAAGATGATTTACATTTTTAGTAATTAACCAAGGGTTTCATCACGCTATCAGACATACTCAAAAGTGTCTGCGATGTTTCATGCTCGCATTCGGTTCAATGGGCACAAGCGTCTTATCAAAGATAATTTAACAAAATCAATTACAATGGATGACGATAGATAATTAGGATTACTTATAATCATAATCAGGTCTTAAGTTCATACCTAGGTAATCCTGAATTTTTGTGAACAAAATGTAAAGAGCGCATTATCACTCATTTTTCTGAGGAGAGATGCTCGCAAGAATATGTTTTAGCCCCAAAATTTAGAACGTTTCAAACAGTTTATATGTGATAAACTTTATTTGCAGTTATCATTAATTTAAGACACTGATTCAGTTTTACAGTTGTATTTCAAAGGTTGTATTTGTAAAGGTGATATTTGGTCTTCAAACTTGGGCATATTCCTGGTACTTCAAAAAAAATAAAATTGTTTCCGACTTTGGGAACTGAATTCAATCTTTATCGTGCGATGCATTTTGATAAGTATAGCCAGAGTCTATAAGAATTAATGTTTACATAACACTTTGATTTGTCGCGCAGACTCTTTTTGGCCACTTTAAATTATCAGCCTTTTTCAAGACCGAGAAAGGTCCTCATAGGCACACGCCGTATTCATCTCCTATGCTAGCTATGCTTAAAGATACCCTTAGATGTGGGGTGCAAAATTTATCGAGAGGAGGCAAAATACGCTCCTTGGGAGGAGCAAAATTTCCCGGAATCCAGATTAATTTTTCAAAATTAAATAAGAGCGG